GCGCTCGTGGCTATAGCCAATGCACTAATGTAATATACGTGGTGCATGTGCAGTACTGTAGAAGATAAGATACTCTTATCGAGACGACCATCGAACAAGAAATATTCATCATTTTGCTTTACACTAAATCCGCATTGGTCTGGATTAATTTTGGAGATCTCTAAATTTAAAAAAAAAATTATAAATAAGGGACACTCCGTTTTGGTTTACACTACCACCAGTTTGGATTGGCAAAGGTGTAGAATAAAACCTATAATACCGCCGCGTAGCGGCGGCGCTCGGCTAGTTATGTGTGATAACAGGAACCAGTGATGGGTAAAAATGTACGGGAGGGCATTGCAAAGAAGACAACACTTTGTAATTGGAGTAAGCCATCACGTAGCAGTAAGAACTGCAATATTCACCGAGCTTGCAATATTTATTGCAATACCTGGCACAGCCTGCGCAGCCATGTCAGCATGCCTGTCATGCTTCAAAACCAGCAACTTCTTGAAGCTGACGTGGGTTAAGCGCTTTCGGTTCGACTCCACTACGGCCGGAGGGCGGTTAGAAGAAGGTTGAACAAATAGTTGGTTTGGTGTGAGGGCTTCAGTACTAATTGTAGTATCGTGCGTTCCAGCAGTATGTCTTGCAGTATTGTAAATGCTTGTGTATGGCATTGCAAGTACATGTAGTATTGATCAATGCCAATACATGTACTTGAAATACATTTTTACCCATCACTGTCAGGAACAACATATCGAAATAGCACGCTCTAACTCTAAAAATTGCGTACGTGGGTGCGTGGTGCGGAGTGTAGATGAAGCCTTTCGTCAACAGTACTGGGGGGCATCCAGTGGAGGCTGATTCTTCGTCGTGCCCAGCCGCCGATCTGTAACCTTGGATCAAGACATGACAACAACATGCTGCCACCAGTTTGACAAGACGGGCGAAAAAATCGCCATAAAGATGGCAAGAACAACTGCGATTTCTACATAAGAGCCTTGAGTCAGATGAGCCCACACGGTTCTCAAAGACGTAACTGCGTCGATAGGTAGACCCTACTTATCTTAGAAAAGAATTCTTCTCTCTACTGATCGATGCTCCAACCTCTCCAACCTACCTGCCGTGGTGCTCCCTGGCACTTTCTCTAGTTCTCATCGTAGTGGTACGGGTCAACGTCACCGTGGGGCGCCAGCTCCTCGGACGGAAGTGCGTCACCCTCTGCCGGCACGAAAGTCGGGTACGGTAGCGGCGACTCCGGCTTCTTCTTGCGCGCGTCCGTAACACGGACAATGCCGCCGTTGTTTCCTGGCACACTGCCCTTGACGTAAATGAGATTGCGATCCACATCGATCTTGGCGATCCAGAGATTGTCGCGAGTGACGCGGTTGCCGCCCATACGGCCAGGCATTTTCTTGCCCTTGAAAACCTTACCGGGGTCCTGGCACTGGCCAGTTGATCCCATGTGGCGCTGCGTCTTGGAGTTACCGTGTGAAGCCGGTTGACCTGCGAAGTTGTGAAGCTTCATGACACCCTGGAAGCCTTTGCCCTTGCTAATACCACATACGTCGACGTACTGGCCAGCATTGAAGTGCAGCGCCGAGAGCGTCGTGCCCAGTGGCAGCAGAGCATCCTCCGAGACGCGGAACTCCTGCAGCTGGCGCTTGGCCGGCACGCCCGCCTTTGAGAGGTGGCCGAGAACCGGTTTGCTCACGTTCTTGGGCTTACGCAGGCCCACGCCGAGTTGCAGTGCGTTGAAGCCATGGCGATCCGCCGTCTTCACCTGCGTTACCTGGCATTCCTCCACCTGCAGCACCGTGCAGTTGTGACGGTAGCCGAAATTGTCCCACACGGGCATCATGCCAATCTTGACGGCCAACAGACCCGTGCGTTTCTTCTCGGGTGACCATGCAGCGGCTACGGACTCGAGCGCAGCAGCCGTGGCGGGCGCTGAGGCCGTCGATAGCGACGAAGTCTGTAGAAGTGCCTTGCCGCTGCTGCGCATCAACGCACTCGATCCGCGCCACATACTCATCAGATTCTTGCTCAGAAGTCGGCAAGAATGAAACATCGACAGCCACAGACAGTGTGCTGAAACGATTGCTATATTCATGTGGGCCACGCGGAAATCAGCAGTCCTCAATTACATATAGGTGCGCCACACAAGTGATCCCATCTAAACTTGGCTTCACAAGTTCTGACCATCTGCAAAGACCAGCTGGCTGCGTGAGTCGAAGTGCACGAGGGCCGGTCGCCTCACTTGTGTCTGAGCTTTTTGCTGCCATCGAGCTCTGCCGGATCGTGCACCGTGGTGACCGAGTCCGCTCCCGTTTTCTGTTTGGTTATCACTGTCTTTGGATCTCGATGCGGCCTCTCCACTCGCTGCTGGCGCTGACAGTGCTGCTGCTAAGCGTGCGCTTCTCGTGGGCTGTGACGTTGCTGCTGCGTGTAACTTTGTGGACAGTCACACGAGTGCTGCAGGTGATAGTGCTGCTAGTTGGCAGTGGCAGCTTCTGGTGGGTCTTACGCTCATACCAGTTGCAGAAGGAGCAGGAACTATTGGATCAGGCGCTACTCAAATTTAAATACTACAATAGATACCGAAGCCGCGTGGGTAGCGGCAGCTTCAGTTCTGGAGGAGACAACGCGCTCTCTGCCCCCACCTCTGGGGGCAGCATCACTGATGCTGGCTTCCAGCTGAGAGTGCTCAAGAGACTGCCTATTGTAGCGCACTTGCGCACGTCCTGGAACCTCCCGCCCGATATCTGTGACGAGATCGCGACTTTAGTGCAGTCAATTGTGAGGGACTATGTGACTTACTGGTTCCAAGCCATTTCTCCCAATGAGGAGTTTCCCAATGATGTCAAGTTCTTGCTGGCAGATCTGCTGGGTGCCGTCACTTCACGAGTCTTGGAGATTGAATCGTCTCAGGCACTTACGATGGTGGCGAAGAGCTTAGAGCTGCTGAGATTGCATTTGGGCTGGTTTCGGGAAGCCTACGCGCAGTTGGCCGACGAGTATCCAGCCGTCTTTGAAGGTGACGAAAGTGACTCCAATCTGCTGAAGCGACAGGAATATGTGACGGCATTTGTACAGAGATCGCCGTTTGTGCATCCGGGTTGCGTGGCCACTGGGGCTCCTCCGTCCGCAACACCTACAGCGGTGGGACACAGTAACGGGAAGAAGAACACGAGTGAAAATGCAGAGGCAGCTTATCTCCGACACGTCGCGACGCAGTTGCTGACTCAATTGAGGCCTCAGCTCGGACAGCAGCAAGGTGCCAACGTGTTCGTTTCTATTGCTATGAATTTACTGCGAGAAGTCACCGCTTTCAAGATCCTCAAGCCTCTTTCCGAGTACTCGCAGCCACGCTATGCTAACGAGATCGTGTTGTCCTGTCTCCAGTCAATCGTCGACGGAAAAGATGTGGTAGGGCCAATATCGCCAAGCATGTCTTCATCGGGTAATGGTGTGGGGATGGTGCAAACCTTGACGCTGAATAAACTGCGCTCGACTTCCAGCTTCCTGTATAAGGCCAGTCGACGCAGTGGTGAGCAGGCTGAAGCTGCATTTCAGGCGGTCGTCGAGGCTGTGGCAAGTGCCGCGTCCTCGGCCGCAGCAGGAGCAGCCGGTGCAGCTGAGATGGTATTTGAAGGAGAAGATTGGGCTGATACAAGTAACCCGTTCGCGTTTGGTAGCGCCGTGTTTACTGCCAGCTCAGGTGGATCGACTAGTGAAAGGAAAGCGATGCCATCAATTTTCACTCTGGACGATCGCCTTAACGTTTCGAAAGCTGCAAAGATGATGAATCCTCGTGGATTGATACCGGGTGGACTGCTGTCGCACAAGATGCCTGGCGAAAATAGTCGTATAAGCTCTCATATGGACGACTTGAAGAACGCCAAGGCTAATATTGGCTCCAGCTTGAACATGTCTATTGGGAAAGTAAAGAGGCGCTTCCGTACACTTGGCAGTCATCAGATGGAGCCCATCTCAACCCCTCCTCTCAGTACAGGGACGGGTGCTGCAGCAAGAATGATTCGAAAGCCAGGACAGCTATTTCAAAAGGCGTGGAAGCGAGGTGAGTCTGGTGTTGCCTCACCGACCTCTTCGCTTGATGATGGTGCCGTTACCCCTACAGGCAGTCGCAACAGTGCGCACAGCATGAGTTCGTTGAATCCGCTCTTGAGTCCCATGAGTGACGAAGAGGAAATGACCCCTCGAATGGCTAACGAAACGATGAAGATGGCTCTGGTGCGGGATCGCGTTCTTGTGCATTTCGAGAAAGCAGTGGCGAACTACACAAAGATGTTCGATGAATGTCCGGAGATGCGTAGCTCAGCGCGCTCCCGTGAGCTGTACGATCTCCTTTCTGCGCTGGAAGATGTCTTCATGTTAGGCTTCCGAAACCACGATTCAACGTCGCCTTCTTTTGAAGACGAGAATGACAACAAAGAAGAGCCCTCAACCCCTCCACTGTCTCCAAATGTGAGACGGCGATCTTCTCTACCAGTCACGAAAGTGGATCCGACGTATCCGCGTCGTGATAGCGTGAGCACGAACACAGGTAGCGATTCCGATGAAGATGCAGAAGACAGCCAATATTATTGGGATTATCTTGCGCGGGACAGACCTGGAGCGGAGAGCTTTAACACTCATTGGCGGTTGGTGGCGTCTCAGTGTCCAAGTTGCAGTCCGAACGAAGCATTTGTTACGACCCGTGGAGTTCAGTGGCTTCTGGGAGCGTTAGCGAAAGGATCGCTGGGGATCTTCTGCGCTGAGCTGTATACCCACAGCGATGTCACAGAATTATTCTACGAGAGCTTTGCTCTGTTATTTGACGGCACTCTCATGGAATCTGTGGTGAGGACTTTATCCCATCTTGATCAACTCAAAGTGTGTTTTGACGAGCCTACTAGCATTCTTGTGGGACTGCACAGCGATACACACCAAGACCTCGGTATTTCACCCTCCAACCAGTGGCGATCTAGAAGTGGGACCTCGCCAAGTGCCCCCGTTCGTGTACTGGAACGAGTATGGGAGACGGAGCGCTATGTCCCGATAAATGGTTGGGTTAAAGCAACCGACAAACGGCGGAACGAACTCCCATCATCCGAGTGGGTTTGGGAAGACGATTGGGCGCTAGAAAATGCAGGAAATGGGGAATCGCCGGACGGCGAGACACCCAATTTATCGTGGGAATACGCCAAGAGCTTTGACGACAACTACCACGAGAAGGAAAAGAAGTTTGATTCTGTCCGACGGCGACAATGGATACGTCGGAGGTATCAACTGCCTCCTGTTCTGGCACTTGCCTCTCCTCCGATACCTCAAGACGCCTTCAAGGTGTCCTCTCCATTGGCAACATCAACTGTTCCTAATGGTTTGGGCCGAGCGAAATTGTTGAAACATCGCTTTAATGCGCTGAAACTTGATAAGAAGAATAACAAGGCACCAATCGCAAAGATGTCGCTGCTGAGGAGACGCTCGAAGAGTTTTGATAAGGAAATGCCAGACAGCCCGATCAGGAATTCAACGCTGGGCGTGATCGACTCGGATGACTTCCATCACATGTCGACGAAGACGTCGGCTTTTATAAAGGCTCGTGTGTCGATCCCGTCGCTTCGGCGTGGAATCTCCAACAAGAGCATTAAATCCTCCGTGTCTGAGGCGCAATCGGTATCAACGCAACTGTCTATGGACGATGACCCTGTTACACTGTATGACGACGACGAAGACGATGACGAAAACCTATGTTTCCGCTGCCTTAAAGCACTTCCAGCGTCCAAGTCTGGTGTGGGGACGTGTCAAAGCTGCCACCAACGTGTGTGCGCTTCGTGTCTAAATTTCTACGCGTTTCTGGTGTATCCACCACCGCTTGAGACGTCTAAGAAATCACGAGTGTGTGGGAACTGCTATGACCGTCTTGTGAACAAGTACAAACTACGTGTAGAGGCCCATGTCGGCAAGTACTTGATCAAGGAGCGTGAACGCGATATGGATACATTCAGCCTCAGCACCTTGAATGGAAATCCTGCCTACGGCAGTCCACCGTCTCCTACAGGTGGTAGTGGTAGCCATTTGGGCGATTCCACCTTGAGTGCATTGAGCCCGAGTATTAATCGCGCTGGGAGTACCAAGGTTGAGATCACAGTCAAGATTAAGGACGACGGTGCATATGCCTGGAGTGTTATCAAGAGTTTCCACGAGTTTGAAGTCCTGGAGAAGCAGTTGGCTGAAAAGCTTAAGAAACAAGAGAAAAGGTGTGGCGTGGGGTGCCAAGCGTGTCATTTGCGGGGTGTTGATTACATGGAGATGATCTCCGTCAAGCCATCACTGAAGACGGTAGCAGCAGCAACTCTTACGTATGAAAAGCGAGTCCATGTGTTGGAGCAATTCTTGCAGCAATTGTTGGCATGTGATACGCTGTGTCAAAGCTCGGTGGTGCAGAAATTCCTCTTACTTGCGAACGCCTACGGGACGTCCGTTACGGCCAGCAACTCGTCAATGTCTGGGTGGGAAACTGGGGAAAGCCCGACTTCTCCGACAGCATCGTCTTCGTCTGCTGTCGGTGTGTTGGGCAATGCAACTGGAAGCGGTGGTGCTGGAGGTGTGCTAGTGGAGAACGGCAAATGGAAAAAAGGAAAGTGGATTGCGCCAGACGCAAACTCAAAGGAGACGAAGATGCGCGTGCTCCAGAAGATCGAGGTTAGTCTGTTTGCTGTGTTAGGCGAAGTTTTCGAGTTCGACGGAATCGGCATGGTACGGCGTCAGATCTTTTCCATGACTCGGTCATTTATCAAGGCTTTCCTTGGAGCCTCGCACTTCCGGATGCTGGAGCGACAGTTCCTCTCTTTCACGGACCCGAAGAAACTCTCGGGTTGGATAGGTGACTTGCGACTGTACATTTTCCCAGACCCAGACGAAGCTAGTGCTGCGCCACTTCCGCCTCCTGACATGCACGTTCTTCGCAAGGACTGTCTCGAAGCTATCCTCGCCAGCTTCCCCTCAAAGGCGCTGTCGTTGTTTGGCGACACAGCTTGCGAGAATGCGGCACTCAAGTTGCACGAGTTCCTCCAGCACGAGGTGTTTGTCAAGAATCTGCTCTTTAGCATAACGGACGAACTGCTTATACATCTTTTCCCAGACTCGGCCACGTTCAAGGGCAAGAAAGCATCGGGCGGGACATCAGCGGCATCCACTCCCTTGTCTCCCTCGGCAATCGAGGTCGCCACCACCATCGCTAAGGAGGCTGTCGCTGCGTCGATAGATGATGACGCGGCTGGTCTGGTCACTCCTGCAGCAGCCTCCGCCGACAATAAGCCCAGATTGTCATCTAACAAAGTGCTAAGTAAGTGAATTCCAAACCATAAATTGTGAAATCTACGAATGCGGGACGACGGCCGCAGCCGTGGGACGCTTGCGCTTGGTGCCGCCTTCCTCTTGATCCTTGATAGACCGCTCCAATGCAGCCAGTTTCTGCGCCACTCGACTTTTCTTCCTGGTGCGCGCGTGCTGGTTTATCTCCTTGAGTCTCTCCTTGCCATGCGCCTTGACGTCGCTCAGAGCAAGCGACGTGCCGGCTTGCAACACGCGACTGGCCATGATGTTCTCCAGGTTTTGGTTAATGAAACCCGTGACGGCCTTGCTGCCGTGGTTCTTCATGCCATTGCAGCCGCGGCGGATTTCGGTCGTCGGGTCTGCACATTGGCAGCAGTTGTAGTGAGTCGCTTTTGGTTGTAATTGGACAAGGCCACCAGCCATGTTAAGTTACGTACTGCCTTTTTTGGTGAACTTGGCCGCCGACTTCTTGTGCGAGTAGCTCACGGCCTTTCTTAGAAGGTTTGGAGCCCACATTTCTTGACGCCTTTCTTGCCCCTTCTTCAGGTACCCCCTACCCTGTGCCCATTATTAGCGTCTGCAAGTTGACTTGTGGCATCGAAGAATGGACAGCCAGCCCCCAACGGATTTATGCTATAATACATGTACTTTTTCCTGATCATGAATAGGGCTATATTATTAAGGGAGTGAGTGCTGCACCCACCTCGTGCACATGGGACAGTGCTGGAGGGCTTGAGATCCGCATCCGGCTTGCGGGTATACCTCGTGTAGCGTATACTTTTTCCCCCCACTCATTTTTGCAGCGGGGGCAAATCAGCAGCAGCCAGGAAGCCATGGCGCCCGACCTGCGCGTCAAAGCGGCGGTGCGACCGCCGCGCCACGGAGGAGGGGCGAGTGATAGTGAAGAGGGGGTCGACAGCGACGAGGAGTGGTTCGACTCGTCAGCGGAGTCGTCGGGTACCGGCAGCTCAACGTCCAAGCAGCGTCGATCGGATGTTTCCGACAGTCTCCAGACAATCCAGAGCGGTGAGCAGCCAGTGGTGATAGCTCCGCCACTCGAGAAGAAAGAGTTTAATTCCTGGGGCGCCTTAGACGCGTATCTAAAAGTCTATTCAGCCGAGACATACCAGGTAGCGTTTGATGCACTGCATATGGTAGCAGGAGCCGTATCGCATTATCTAACTGGTTTGTGCGTACAATTGCTGCGTACAGAGCTTCCGCGTTCGCACTAACAACAAGGTCGTGACGAGAAATAAGAAGATTCGAGACTCCGGGTCTACGAAGCCGCTTGTGCCCGAGGGGTGGACTCATTATTCGAAGACTTTCGTCTGCACCCACGCAGGGAAGTACAAGCCGCGTGGACAAGGCAAGAGAAAGCGGCAAGAGTCGAGAGCTCTCGAGTGTGACGCGCAGGTGTGTGACGCTCAGTCGGGCTCAGTCGGGCTCAGTTGGGCTCAGTTGGGCTCAGTTGGGCTCAGTTGTGCTCAGTTGGGCTCGGATGGACTGAAATGGATTTGAATGGTGCTGTTGGTTGGCCATGCATGTGCTCACGTACAATTTTATCGCTACGAAGATCAATGCCTGCGTACAAGTGACCGACTCGGCTGCAGCAGTTCCCACTTTTGTGCTGCGAATTACTGTTGCCCGTTTGGAGCATAACCATCCGCTCTCCAGACATACTTTCGACCATTATCCACACAACCGGACAGCTATTGAGTCTGAGCTGTGTAGTCGTCGTTTGTTTAACTTTCTATGCTGATGTTAGACTGTAGCTACATGTATAACACTGCAGACAAAGCATATGCGGGAGCTCTTCGACCATTTCTCAGAGGTCGTGATGATCGACGCCACGCACGGTACAAACTTGTCAAAGTACAAGGTTTTCTCGATTATGGCACACGACGCATTTGGGAAGGGCCAGCTCGTACAGCATACTGTTCTCCAGAACGAGCGTAACCCAACGCTTCTGACGGCCCTGGAGCAGTTCAAGCGCTACAATCCGGCGTGGACGCGCATCAACTGCATACTGATCGACAAAGATTTCGGCGAGATCGGCGTGTTGAAGAAAACGTTTCCGGACGCGGCGTTGCTGTTGTGCCAGTTTCACGTGTTGAAATATCTGCGAGAGCAGATAGCATCAAAGACTATGGGTTCAATGCTTGGCAGAAGCAGCAACTGAACGGATTGATCAACTTGCTGGTTTACGCAAAAACGGAGCGACAATACTTGCGCTTGCGCGAGTATATGCGCCATATTATCGATGCAGGGACTGGAAGAGTACCATCTGAGAAAGCTAGGTCTGGGGATGTTGTGTTGGGCACTGGTCAGACGGAGATGGGCACGGATGGTGTCCAGTTGGGCATCAGTCGGGCAGAGTTGGGCTGGCGAACCGCGTGAAGCGTGCAAGCACCCTTTTGAAGCGTATTTCGTGAAAAACTGGGATAACTGTCGTCAAATGTGGTGCGCGTTTGAAAGGCAGAATGCTTGCACCCTCGGCAACAATACAAATAACCGCCTTGAAGCTTCGTGGAAGTAGCAGAAGGAGCTTGTGGACTCCTTTATGCAAGTGGACGAGTGCATTGTTTCGATAATGGTTTATCAAGCTCAGGCGGAGAGAAAATTTAAGGGACGTGGTCTACAAACTATCTGTCGTGCATCATCCGAAGTACCATCACGAGATGGATTTTCTCTCGAAGCTGGTAAGCGAGCACGCGTGCGAGCTTGTGTACGAGCAGTACAACTTCGCGATCACCACGGCGAAGTATAATTTTCACGAGGCAGTCCCCGGAGTATACTTTATCCAGTGCGATGCGGACGATGAAGAGGCATTGGATGAACCGCATAGCGAGTACTCCGTCACGAAAACCGATTGGTCTTGCTCGTGTTTGTTCATGGCTTCACGTTTGCTGCCGTGTCGCCACGTGCTCTTCATTCGGAAGGCACTCAACTTCGAGAACGTGATTCCTACCCAGCTTCTGGATTCTCGTTGGTTACTGTCGTCGCTTCGGGCGAAATACGAGCTGCCCCAACTGTCAGAAGAACCGTTTCGTGTGTCCAGAGTGTTGAAGGAGGCCAATATGTGTTGGGATTCCAACCGGAAGTTCCGCGAGCAAATTTTGTGGCAACTGCAATTAGTGAGCACTTGAGTGGATTGGGGATGGTGGAGTACCGAGCAGCGATGAAGGCTTTGCGAGATGCTGCCACCCTTTTCAAGCATGGCGAGTACAGTACCATCCCCAAGGTAGCTTGTGGTCTTGAACTCGAAGACGGCTTGGGTGATGCAGAAAATTGGACACTGAACTGGGTGGGCGCGAACTGGGTGGCGTCAGTCACCAGACTAGAGACAGCAAAGTAGTGACAGAGGCGATGGGAGTGGTGCAAGCTATCACGTCTAGACAAGAGGATACTATGAGCCAAAGTGTGGCGTCTGCTTCTTTACGTGGAGAGCACTCAAGTATGCCCAGACCAGTCCGGCTCAGTTTGGGAGCGAGACGGGCACAGATGGTGGTGAGTTGGTTTCATATGGGAAACGAGACGGGCACAAACTGGTGGTGAGCTGGTCTCAGATGAGAACGAGACGGGCACACATGGTGACGAGTTGGGTTCAGTTGGGAAACGAGACGAGCGCAGCTGGTGGTGAGTTTGTAGGTGGAGACATCTCACGAGAATGACAACCATAGCGCTATGCCTTGCTTCAGCAAAGCTAAACCGATGATTTTTCAGATCGTGGAGTTCTCCAAAATTCCAAGGGACGTCCAAAATCAAAAGCCACGGGCTTGTTTACAGCAAAGCGGAAATCAAGCGATAGTAATGGTAGTGGAAGACTTGGAAATGCACGAACGCCAAATGAGTCTACTGACAGTTTATGAACTACTGGACGGCGATCCCATTTACAAGTTGACACACGAGAAGCTGCTGCAGTTCAAGGAGTTTCTGTTCGCCACGAAGCCGAAGCCTCCCATCGCCCACGAGATAGCGAAGCCCCCCCCCACAAAACCACTGATGCGACCAGAAGAAGTGATGCGAATCTTCCCCATCCAATTAATTAGCAAATGTACCTCCAAGGTCACAGCCTACCAAGCAAAAAAACGGGAACGTTGGAAATGCAGCTGGCGCTGGAGACTGTTGGCGTTGGAGTGTTCGCGAACTCTACGGTATCGCTCATGAGAAAGTGGCACACCGCAGTAAAATTCGTCAAGAAAATCAAAAGAGCTATAACCTGGATTGATCGATTAGACTTCGCGCAACACGGGAATTCTAGCTTCTACGTCGAGGAGGACACCACTATACCTAAGCTGTTGAAAGATTTGCCAATTCTGTCGAACGAGTATGCAGACTTGGTAGACCTGGCTTCGAAGGACACCCTTAGCGCTCAAGTCGTGCAGATGATTCTACACAAACTGTTTGGTGCGGATCCTAGTGTTCTAGTGATCGACCCGTCTAACATGGGGATTTCAAATGGAGCCTTAACGACAGACATCAGGTATTTTAAACTGGCGTTGGCTGGAGTCACGAAGAAGATGAAAGTGCTGTTTCCAATCAACTGCAACAACAACCACTGGTGCGCTGTGCTAATGGATTTGGAGAAGGGCAGAGTGTACGTCTACGACTCGGTGGCGTCCTCCTACATGATCGGTGTCCGTGCCGTGGCACAGAAGATGATCATGATGCTGCCAGACGGAGTCAGACCTAGTGCTCGCTTGGTGACTCACGACCCTGGACTTGGCGTTCAGTGCGACAGCTATAATTGCGGTGTGTATGTCCTGCTGGTATTTGAGGTGTTCTGTGGGTCAGAGCCGCTCGGCCACCTCGACAAAAAGACTCTGCAATGCATGCGCTACCGCTACTTGCGCATGTGTATAGAAGAACAAGGACCAAGTCACTGAACTCGTTGCATCGAACTATGTTTGTCGAGTTATATGCTTGATAATGTCTTTAGTAATTGAAGGGGATAACCTGCTCAGCAGAACGCTTCTATCTCTGCGGACTCTGGTACTGTCACTGAACTCGTTGCATCGAACTATGTTTGTCGAGTTATATGCTTGACAATGTCTTATGTAATTGAAGGGGATAACCTGCTCAGCAGAATGCTTCTATCTCTGCGGACTCTGGTACTGCCGATGTCGATCCACTCCGGCTCTTTGGCATCTTTCGGATATACGTGTATAGTGTATAAGTTTTAGGCCGGCTCTTTCGATTTGGGTGCTGTAGTGGGCACAGGATGGGTGTCTGACGGTCACAACTGGGTACGGGTGGGTGCTGGTTGGTGTCGTAATTCTGTCTTGTCCCGTCCCATGTGCACGAGGTGGGTGCAGCAACGAGTGCCTATTATTAATAATACTTCGAATTATTAAAAGTGTGTTCGTGTTTCAAATTATCTAAAGCCCAACCAATCACACCAGAATGGCGAATAAAATCCTGCCATTGGGAGTTTAGTAGGGGCTTTAGAGTCAAGCCGCAATCGAGTACACCGTTCACGCTAATTAGTCGGCCTCTGACTAATAGTGGTGTACGACTTCAGAGTCCCAAAAAATGTGCGACTAATCGAGGTATACTACTAATTGTGGT